TGACCACACCCTAAACCCTAAACTCAAGGCTTAGGCCGCCCCACCAACTGTGCGTGGGCGGCGCCTAAGCCCCTCGCCCTCTATGGCGAAAGGTCTTCGCCTCGCCCTGCCTCAGCACAGCCACGGTTGCGGCAGCGCCCACGATGGGCCCGGGACCGGAAGGAGTTCTCCTTGCAACCAGTACAGGTTGCTTTAATAAACTCCTCTACCAACCAACTTCGAGACTAGAAGAGCTTGGGGGGAAACAAGACATTTCTCACGACGTTCAAAAACCTACCAGACCTGCCAGCCCCCCGCGCCTTTCAGGGACTTCCCACAAACCCCACAAACCTCCCAACTTTCACGGGCTTCCAGGCAGCAACTTTTCGGGAGCCAACACCCGGGCCTTACACGGCCTCCAGACCCTCCCAGCCAGGGCCTCCCTTAGCGGCCTCCCAAGGGGCCTCCCATCCTAAAGGCCTTTCAGAGCTCCTTGTACGCGTGGCTTAGGGTCAAGAAGAAACGATAATATACGATAAAGATGAATTTGTGTTGTTGACCAAGATGGACGTAACAGAGTTTAGGTCTTAAACCCTAGAAGGAGTAGGTTTGGGTGTGGGTGATTGTGTTGGATGGCCAATCACAATCAGGCCATGTCAGCATTTCGCATGCAGCCATGCTTTGAAGGATCGTTGACACCTAATCATCACTGCTTGCACGGTAACAAACCCTAAACCTAAACCGCCATCTGTGTCGACCTGGGGCAATGCCGACCATGGTGGTAGGCTGTGCAGGATCGGCTGAGGATGGCTCGATGCGGACACGGGCCCAAGACGGAAGGTTTCGCCAATTATCTCGGGCATGTGCTCCGGTTAGGGGTAACCCACAAAAGCCCGAAACCAAAGACTTTGCATCGATGATCTCGGGCAGCACCACCACATGGACGTTTTTCTCCGGCAGCCGCTCAGGGCCCGAAAAACGACCCTGCACGGACCGAAGCCGAAGGTCTTGCATGCGCTCCGGTTAGGAGTAGCCCACGGGGCCCGAAACCAAAGATTTTGTTCCGATTATCTTGCGCCGCAGGGGGTGGCCTTCGGCAAGGCTATCACCACCACATGGACGGTTTTGTGCCAATTATTTTGGGCGGGGGGATAAGCTTCGGCATACAAGACCCCGGAGGTTTTTTGGAAGTGGGCCCTGAAAAGTTTGGAGAGTCCCTGAGATGCTTGGGGCTCGACGTCTAAGGTGCTGGGAGGCCCCTGGCCCTGGGAGGTTGGAAACGCCTCGAACTTTTGGATGGGACGTCCGAGGGTGTGTTGGTGTCAGGCCCGCCCCCCAGACACAAAAAAACAATCTCCCCCGGACAAGTGTGCGGGGGGGGGGGCTTTCGGACAAAAGAGCTAAATCCTAAATCTTAAGCTTTTAATCCTAAGTTCTAAACGCTAAACCCAAAACCTTACAATTGTAAATCTTAAGTCCTAAGCCCTAAAGCCTAAGACCTAAAGCCTGAACCCTAAACCCTAAACTAAACGCCGCCCAGAGCAAATGGCCCGCGGTTTGGGTATACTTTTTGCAAACGTAAAGGTGGTCTGGGGACGGCTATCCCTTATAGGAGTTCTGACGTTTCCGTAAACAAGGCTACTCCTTGTTGGCCCGTCCAGGTCAGACGGTGAGGCTTTACCCTCACCTTTCCGTCTCTCTTTTTGTATGGGCGCTTGGGTTGTGAGGCCCTCGGCCAAGCGTTCGGGGTCTGTCGCTCGACGGCAGCGACCCCTCTCTTTGTTTAGGGTTTGGGGTTTAGAAAAGGAATACTGGCTTCAAGGTTCAGGGTTGGCTGGTTCCCAAATTGGGAGTGGGTAATGAATTTGGGTACCTTTCTAGGTTTAAGGCTTTTAGGCTTAAGATTCATGGTTTGGAGAAAGGCGTTATACGGAGATAGAATCAAGGTTATTCAAAATGTACACGACTGCTTAGCCTTTGTATGGTTCAGGAAATCGTGAGTTGTATGCTAAGCTGGATTTAGGGCTTCCAGTTTATTCTTGGTGCTAAAGGCGTGAACACAGGGACTATAATAGGGGTACATGTGGGATATGTATACGGCGTGGGGACATGGATGTAATCTACCGGTTTGATCGTTTCCGATGTTTCAACGATTGTTTATCGATAAAGTATTGGTAGTATTGATGGTAACGGTTTGGTTCGATACCAATTGTAAACCGATACTTCTTCGATTGATGGCGACGGTTCGGATCGATACCAATGGTATACCGATAATTCTTCGATGTCGCACACCTTGCTGACCCACAGTCCCCAAGCCTGGTATATGGGTTTCCAAATCGAGGAAAATCATTTTTTTGGCGGCTAGGGGAGTATGGTTTAGGTCTTAGAGATTGTTGTCAGCGTCCACCCCCCACCTGCTCAAGCACCTGTGAGGTTTTGGAGGAAGCACATGGATGGCTACTTGCCAGCTAACCTCAAAGGTGCTCAGCACGGCTGGCCTGCAATGAACTGGACTAGGGAGGTATTGAGGGAAAAGTTTCTGGGTTGTTGTTCAGTAATTTAGATAGGCTTACCAAACAAAATTAGGGTATATGTCGTAAACAGTATGGTTTACTTTAACGTTAGCTTAATTTATGCCCCTTACATCCCTACACAACCTCTCTAATATCCTTGGCTTCCATTACATTTTCCGTTTACTTTTGCATTTGATTTTGCATTGCCGACATTTAGCCCCAAACTTTGAAGAACCCCGTTATAGCACGTGATAGTAACTGTACAGTTCCTTCGCTGTAACCCAGGTTTGGTTGGGTGGATGCAAAACTGGAGCCGAAGGCACCGGCTTTTGATGCAAAGATGCATTCTTAGATACGGTGAGAAGATCATTAGCAATGGTAGCAGCAGCAACAGCAGCTTACCCTTGAACCCTAAACCCTGACCCTAGACCCTAAACCCTAAACCTTGCCCTAGATCACTGGCTCCTTTCGCTTCCTCGGTCAGGTTGAAGCTCGTGGGAATGACACTGCCTATCAAGATTTGGACAGCATTGCCCCGTCACATCGGCTGAATCTCTCGGAATATCTCCGGCTTGAGGCCTGGGTTTTTGCTTGTTGTGTCTTGGGGTTGAGAGTTGAGATCTAGAGTCTACAGTTTGGGGCGTAGGGTTCAATTTCTGTTGAATGTGGGGACGGGTTTGTTTTTGCTTCGCCCTGCAGGAAGGCAAGAACATGCATCTGGGCTGTTGTTGAGCAACATCTTACATTTTACGTATATCTTTGCCAGAAAATAAACCCTAAACCTTAAACCCTAAACCTGAACCCAGGTATGTGGTGTCGATCATTCCTCAGGCGATGGCCTGGGAAGTGGCGCATCCTTCAGTTTTGCTATGTGGCTCGAGGCGTACCCAGCTGAAGAGAGAGACCAAGCCACCATACAAGAAGACCGCGCATGAACCTGGGTTGTTGTTAAGGAACTTCGCTAAGTTACTACAATGAGGAAGTCCCATTATTTACTACATACCCATACTGTGGTAACTTTATTTAGGTTCCTTAACAGCAACCAGGAATATCCCCATGAAGCTGGCTTCGAATGGATGACACATGTCTTTGAGGCGAATCTTTGGGTTGCCACCGGCTACACGCGCTCGCAATTTCATTATGACAAGGAATGGAATGTCAACTGCCTCCTATCTGGACGAAAGAGGTGGCTATTCCTGGACCCGTCCCATGGACGCAAACCCTAATTAGAGTCCTTAGCACAGCATTGACCATTTAACCTATTGGAAGGGCCTCAATTTCGGACATGCATATTATATCCCAATTGTATAAGTTAGCACTTCTCATACCGGGATAATGTTACCAATTAGTCAAACTTCTGCATGCTATTTACTCCCTACAAACCCTTCTATAATCCCAGTTTGCATCTGTTGATTTTGTTTCAATCCTCAGGTGTAGTCGAGTCGTGAAGGCAAAATTCTGTAGACAAGGAAAGCAAGATCCCTATACCCTAAACCTTAGACGCCGGAAAAGCAGCCGCGCTTGGTAGATAGTTTTCGGTGTCAAGTGGACCTAGGCCCTAAACCCTAAACGCTGAACCCTAAACCCTAAACCCTAAATGCTAAACCCCAAAAGGCAGCCTGGGATTTTTTTGTTAGTAAGGCCTAAGGTAGGGAAAGCCCAAGTTATGAGCGGGAGTCTCTTAGGATTTTTCGTATATTTGTATCGATAACAGTGTTCGTCATCTACCTGCATATATGGTAGTTTCCATAAATAAAGGGACCCCAATATAGACCCCCAAGTACTACAATAATAGAGACCCTCGAAAAAGGTAACCTACTTTTGGCAAACCCGCATATATCATCTAAAGTTTAGGGCTGGAATAGGAACTCTAGGATTGCGTTTGTTGTGATTCCAGCATCCTATCTTCCGACCAGGTTCAAATACGACGCAGACCTTCAGTGGTCGAGGGGAAACAAGTTTAATGCCAAGAATCCGTTGAACAACGCATGGACTGATTGGGTCTATCTGGATCCTGATCGGGTCGACCTGATTGTCCAGCATAAGCTTCGGAAGATGGACTACTACGAGCTGATCCAGGAAGCAGGCGACTGCATATTTATTCCATATGCAATGCTCCACCAAGTTCAGAAGCTGGATGACGGCATGCAGGTTGCAGCTTCCTGGATGTTCTTGCCAGAGACGATCTACGAAGAGGAGGTTTGCCAAAGCGCGCCGCTGAAGGAGGATCTTCCCCTAGCTGCGATGGACACGTTGTTCATGTATACCGGCAACTGGATTGCTGTTGAGGAATTTGAATTAAGTTACCATAATGGGTATATGTACTAAATAATAGGGTGCCCCCAATATAGTAACTTTAGATTAATTCAGTTCCTTAACAGCAACCCAGGCAAGGGCCTCATACCTCAGGGGTACCAAGACCCGCTGAACTTCGTCCGAAAGGTCCTAGAGTACATGCAGAGGCTCTTGGTGCCAGGGTTTAGGAAGCGTTAGACTCCCAGGCGTTCATGGATTACCCGTGAGCTGGCGATTGCAAGAGTATGAGTGAATCTGAATACATGCTCCTCAGATTTTCAAAGGTGCTTAACTTGTTGGTGGATAGTAGGAAATAAGGGAATAGAATCCCTATATAATCCCTACATAATATACTCCCTTATTCCCTATTCAGCCCCTATTAGCTTAAGTAAGGGTGGCGCAGAGGATCCCTGTTGTAGTTCCTTCGCTCCCTAGTAAGTTTCCATGCTCAGAGGCGCGGTGAGGAGCACCTACGCCTCAAGACCTTCGGTGCAGCAGTGTCTGACGGAATGGCCATTCTGAGGACAGCAGCTGGATCTCATGTAGGAGATTTCTTTGATCATGCGATTGGTGGAGGAGGTGCTGTGCCACCCTATGTCCATATTTCCTATGGATTACGGTAGTTTAGGTGCCCGAAAGGGTTCGGGTATTGGTCCATGAACGGTTTCTTCTGTTGGTCCAGCGGAAATGAGCCAAACATGAAACTCATTAGTTTTTTTTGCTTGGTCATTGGGGTTTTTCCTGTATGGCAAACTCTCAACCCTAAACCCTAACCCCTGACGAGGAACCCCAGAATTTCCCATCCTTAATGTAAGGGGGTTTAGGGTTCCCATCCATAACCTACGGGCTAGAATCTCCACTTGCAATTCCAGGCAGCAAATCGAAAGAAAAAGATCAAGCATCTTTACGATAGGCTCACTGCGAGCCTCAGCCAGCAGTGTGGTTTTGGTTGCGAGATCTAAGGTCCTGGGGTTAAGGTTTAGGGCTTAGGAGTTTAGGGTCCAGGGTGTTTGGGGTCTAGGGCTAAGGATATGGGGCTACGGTTTAAGGTCTTTCGGGTTTGGGGTTGATGTTTGCGTAGTTTTGTCTCGTGTAATTCTTGTGAGGGGTCGGGATGAATATGCAATCAACTGCCCGGTTGGGGTTTAATTAGGATGTGGGGTTTAGGCCCTAAACCCTGTGTGAAAAGGTCTTCGGTGCTGTGTGTGTAGGGATTACCAGCAATTGGGGCTCCCCACAACCACCTCAAGACAAGACTCCTACATTCAGGGGGGTGAGGGTTTAGGGTTTGGGGTTTATGGTCAAATATACCCTGAACCTTTTAACTGCTTGAGAAGGGGCACCTGGGCCAGCCGAAGCGACTCCAGGTCCCCTGGGCTCCAGCTTGCGCTGTGGTCTCGTCCGCCCGTATTGGGCTGGCAAGAGGTGACATTAACTCAAGCATGCTTCAACGCCCAATCACGCAGAGCTTCCGTACTGCTTGTGGTCAAGTGCCGGGCCAAGAGTTCAGCCGTGCAGGCCTCTTCCCTCATCTGGGGTCGTCGCTGTACGCCCTTTCTCGGTTGGGATTCACCCAAGGCAACAAGAGTGAAGATTCTATGGTGCCGTGGCACCCCCAAAATCTTCACCCCAGTCGTCTTTGTGAGATAAAAAATTGCCGAAACGAAGCTGCTGACCATATCCTGCTGATTCAGCGGCACCATGATACCCTCCGCCCAGAGGGGATTGCACTGAGCCCGTGAACCATCGCCCTTGACGGGGGGCAGGGTCGCCGTCACGACAATGAAATTTATCAAGAGTTCCAGAAAAGTGATTCCCTCACCGCGTTGCAAGCGACCCTCTGTCTGTCGTGGCCAGGTGAGAGAAGAATGCCAAACCCAAATGGACGCCAAAAACCATTGTGGCCAGTTACTGTCTGCGGGCCGCGCTGGTGGCAGCTGCAGCGGCATACCTTCAAAGGATACACCGGTGGAGCTGGCAAGCCAGGTGGAGGCTATCTCATCTTGGCTGCGGTGCTGCAGTCGCGTCGCGTCCAGTCCGGTTATCGCGGCCTGTCGGTCCAGTGTAGCCACTGCACGGGTCAGCTCGAGATTGTACTGCAAGAACATATGCATAGCCTCACGCTGTGTGATGTGCCAACTGTAAATATCTTCGACAAGGTCAAGTACAAGGGACAAGTCACCCAGGCGGGCATTTTTGGCTGCTTCGTCAGCCATGGCATTTCCCAGCTGGTGGCGAACTTCACTCTCAGGCGCCTGTGCTATATTTGCATGGGCTTTGACCTTGCGGAGCTGAAGATTAGCCGGAACAACATCAACTTGCAAAGCTTGGAATAAGTCATGATGCAATCCCGGTGGCCGTCCGCTGCTGCGCCACTTGGCCCCATCCCAATTTTGTACCAAATCCAGCGCAAACTGGCAGTCGCTGTACGCCATGCAGGGAACGTCTGGCAATTGCTGGGCCATGACACAAATCTGAAGCAGAGCCAGGGTCTCGGCGCGGTCAATCGATTGCCTCCCGGGCACCAGTCCTTGGCCCACTACATGGAACGACTGTGGCGAACTTCCGGTAAGTTCCATATGTAGCGCCAGGAGCCTGGGATCCAAAGTGGGGGGACAGTCAAGCGCTACAGCCCAGGCTGCGTGCCTTGCTTGCACTATGCTCGGATGTGCACATGTGCCATCACTATAGAAGTTGCAGACTGGCAAGGCATATTGGTGAAGCAAGCGGAGAGGGGGGGGGGCAAGGGGCAACCCTTCTAGTCTGGAAAACCAAATTTAGAATCCCCTCATCTGTATGCACTACAGGGGCCGTACAGTGCACCCAGTGCGGCGCATGTTCACTGACCCAATTCAAGATCGGCTGGAAAGGTCGTCTGAGCTCAGCATGCACCGGGCAATCAAAGAGTCGTTGCTGACGCGTGTCACATGCCCCGCAAAAACGACAATTGCCGTCCTCGAAAGGATCCCACAAGGACTGTGCTGCCTTGGACTGAAACCCGCCAAAAAACTGCAAACCCAAATTACGTACCTGTGGGGGGTCAAACTTACCGCAAACATGCTTGAAGTCTTCAAGAGCCGGGGACAGCATGACATGTAGACCTTTGCGGTGGGCAACTTTCTGTGGCGCTATGCTGGCCCAGGCCTGCACAATGGTCAGACGAATGGTACGTGGAGCATCCATCTTGAGGTTGAGCCAAATGTTGTCAGGCCCTTTAAGGTAGCATCCTGGGCAAGGGTCCACCCGGTCCGCTGCAGCATTCTGGCAAGGGCAGCAAGCCAGGGCGAGGGTCTGTTGCCCCAACTCTCGCCAGTTAAACAACATCTTCTGAAGTTGCAAGAGGGCCTGTGCGAGGAGGTCGGCCATGGAGCCCCTGGTATGCCAACGCACTGGCGAGTGGCACTGCTAACGACTTGGCCTTGCCCCATACCGCTCTCATGGCGCCCGCTCGCAGGCTGTTGAGCACACCCAGTAGTTTGAGGCCAAATGCCAGCCTGCACAAGGTGTGCCTTTTGGTCAATCGGCCTTGGCTCGTTGGCCACACTCTGAGAGACGTTGGCCCAAATCCTTCCAGCCTAGACCCCTGCAGAACTTATAAGAAACCCCGAGGTCCTTTGCAGCATCGACCAGTTGGAACCGGCACCCTGGCGGGAGCTGGACAGGAGCAACGTCAGTCCACCAGTGACGCAACTTGGCAGTCGTCCCCCACCCAAAGCTTTTTTGCCAGTCAATCGGCTGCCTTCTGAAGGAGGGATTCAAGGCTGGATTCTGTTGGAGCGACCCAGGAGAAGTTGTCCACAAACGTGAAGGTTTGGCAGCCAACCTCCGCAGTTCTCTGGACCGGGATCCAGCAGATGGCAACCTGTGCCACAACGCTCAATGGATCACCTTCCGGCACTCCTGTGGTGGAAGACAATCCCGGCCCCAGACTGCCAAGGAAGCAGGGTGCACGCTCCGTGCGTGCCAGAAAATCAAACGACAGGGCCAGCACTTCGCTGGGGAAACCAAGGTGTGACAACAGCCTTCGCAGAGGTAGTCTGGGCAATTGATTGAAACATTTAACAATGTCCACGCTGAACCCTGCAAGTGGCTCATTACGGCTCAAAGCGGATTCAATCATTGCCTCCAGGGCATACGATATATCTCGGGCTTCCCTCTGTGGCAGGCTGCCTCGCACAGACCACGGCAGCCACCTCGACCAATGCCGCAAGATGGTTTGGGCAGCTACAGAAGCCCATAGCCGATAGAGCGTCGCGAAGATCACGATTGGTCGGCCGTGACCCATGTGCTCTGGAAGGGAGCGCTTTGCCAGGACGGCCACCCGGGCCTGTGCAAGGTGGCGCGGATAACCAAACTTCGTGGCTTGTGCAAAGATGGCTGAGAGATCCATCAAGGACGCATCCGGCAGCGCCTTGAGTTCCTTGACACTGAATCCGCAATATCCTGTGGCCTTGTTCGGGCGCATCTTTCGGAGGGAATCCTTCCAGGCCTGCAAATCCTCACGCGCAAGACTAATTGGTGCGGCCGCCTCCGGGAGCTCCGGGAGGTCAGCAAGTGCAGCTTCCCAGCACGCCTCATTCGTCCTTTGGGGGCCACGGTCCCGATTCCATAGGCAGTGCCAGAATTCGTGAAACTCACGGGTCAACTCATCTGGTGAACAAGCCACTGTTGGCTGCTCAAAGTGGAGACGGGACGGCCATGTGACCGGTGCATCCTGGGCCTCAGCTCGGAGCAGGATTTCATTGCCACCGTCGGCATTGGGCCGATCAAGAACACCGCCACCACGGGGACGGCCCGGCTGCAGCTTGATGCCAATACGGCCACAGGCTCCGCCAGCTGGAAGTGGCGCCCGCCAGGCGCCGCTAATAGTGGAGACNNAAGGTCAAGCAGAACATCAGGGATGGTCAGAAAGAATCTGGACATGGCCGATGTCAGTATTGGCCAAACAATGGTGGCGGAGAAATTGTGTTAAGTTGGTTTCATACCAGGCTTTTCGCCCATCAACTGGCTGTACAAGAACAAGCTGCCTGATTTCACGCACCGGAAGGTCTGAGAATGGTGGATGGGGGGGCTCCTTGATGGAGGCAAAGGCCTTGCGGTGGCCCCCATATTTGGCATCCCACCTGGACGAGAACTGCGCAAGCTGCGCTCGGTATTTTGCTGCCTTCCTCAGGACTGCATCACAATCAAGACGCACATATGTAAGTACGTCCCGTGTCCATTCTAGGGGGGGAAGGTCCCACCAAAAGACCTCGAAATGAGCCACCCGTAGCAGCCACTTTGCACGACATATCGCCTGCCACTCTTGCTGGAGTTGCTGGCGGAGCACCAGAGTGGGTGCAGTTTCGTACTTGGTTCTCCCTGAAACAAACGTCTGCAGGCGGCGGACCTGCTTCACTAGCCTTCGGGCCTGTATTGACGCGGCCTCTTCTGGGGGATTATAATCCCCGTCCCGGGCACAACGTACTGCTTGGGGAACCCTACGCCATGTCCTATGGCGAGCCTGGCAGCGCCCGCGTGCCATTTTGGGAAGCGAAGGGAGAGGCTGGCTGAGCGGATCAAGGCTGTGCGCCTGCGTGATGGCCAGGCTAACTGCTTGCTCATTATCCCTGGCCCACATGAGAAAAGCTTCCTCGACATCCTGCACGGATTGGCAGCGGGATATTGCCAGGCGAAGCAGAGGAGCGCTGGCACTGTAGGCAGAGCTGACGACCCCCTTATCCGGATTGAACGGCACCCAGGACTTGGGCATATTCCACTGCAAGCGTGCCGGGTAGGCATGTGGCAAAGCAAAGGTGAGGACCAAGGGGGAGTGGGCATCAAAAAGATGAGCCTCTGTGAGGACCTCTAATATACCCTGAACCCTAAACCCTATGGTCTAGGGGGAGCCTAGCATGGGCCCTGAGTCCTGCGGTCCTTGTCCAGCTACTATATACCCTAAACCCTAAACCCTAAACCCTAAACCGTATACTCTTGAGCCGTGTGGATTCAAGCAGCAAAGGTATGCTGCTGATCCGAAGAAGGGACTATCGAAGCAAGAGCTAAGACGTGTACCCTTGCGCCTGGGCCAGTTAGAGGTTTAGTGTACGACTCCCCAATGGGATCATACGGGCGTTCTATAATAAGCATTAAAGGGGCTATGTAGGGCTTATATATATATATATGTTTATAGGCGATATTCTGCCAGGAAGTGAGGCATCAAATGGAAAATCACAAAAGACATGGACACTAAGGTTCCATCGTTTATATGAGGAGTATAATCATCCCATCCTTTCTGTGAGTGGTCTTCTTATCCCAGCAAAAACGTTTGGGGTTTCAAGTACTATAGGACACCCAGTCGCTCCCAGCCTTAAACTCCCAACTCCGAATGCCAGGCGATTGTGGGCAAAGCCTGCAGCCGAAGGCGATGACGAGGGGCCTTTGCAACTCGGATGGCTAAGAGGGGAAGGGGGGGCCTCCTAGAGATTCTGTTAGGGTTAGGGTTTAGGGTCTAGGGGTCTGGGGTTTAGGATTTAGTGTCCCGGCCTGGGAGCTTTCTGAAGTTCAGGGTCCCAGAACGGACATTCACTGGGGTATGGCCAGATTGTGGATTCCTTTCCCAGGGTTTTGGAAACTATGTGTGGGTATAGAGGGGTACATACCTTTGAGGGTCTGAAATCCCGTTTTCTTTTTCGCAGGAATCCTAGCATTCTTGGGATCACCACGATTCTGCGCGCCATACTCTTGTGCGGAGAGCCCCTGAACGTTAATTCCTAAACCCTGAATCCTAAACCCTGACCCCTAATCCCTAAGCCCTAAACCCTAGAACCTAAACCTTGAATCCTTAACCCTGACCCGTAATCCCTAAGTCCTAAACCCTAGAACTCAAACACTGAATCCTAAACCCTTGATCCTACAACCCTAGCCTGTGTGCACCTTGACTTGGCAAGCCAAGGCCCTGCGATCATGGCCACTTCCCTGATTCCAAGGGTTTAGGGTTTAGGGTTTGTGGTTTAGGGTTTAGGGTCTAGGGTTTTGCGTTTGGGGTTTGGGGTTTAGGGTTCTTTACCACACCCCTTACTGCCTCCTCCCCAAAAGCAAGCATCGAGAAGCCGCAATTTTGCTGTATTTCTGCTTTATTTGGGGTAAGGGAGTAGGCGGGCGCTTAGTGTATTCCACAATGGTTTCAGTCTGAAGTTCTGAATGCTTTTGCACCCTGCCCAGCCTGCCTGCTACCTGAACCCTAAACCCTGAACCCTAAACCCTGAACCCTAAACCCTGAACCCAAAAGCCCAGAACCCTAAACCCTAGAACCCTAAACCCTAGAATCGTGCTTCTACCAAGGCCAGGAGTACCAGGATTGTAGTGATGAAGAGTTCGAGAAGATGACCCACTTCGTTCAAAGTCAGCTGGAGAAAGGCGATACCCTGCCATCTGATGGTCCGCAACTAGGTTGCTGTTAAAGAAATTAAGTTAAGTTACTATGTTGGGCGAACCATATTGATTACTATATACCCAGTATGGTAACTGAATTTAAATTCTTCAGCGGCAAACCAGGCAAACGCCTGTTCTCAACCGCCGTGCTTATCTGTCCGATGCACGGACGGAGCTATGATCCTCCGATCAGCAGGTTTCGTCCTTGCTCGAAGGCATGTTCCCGACAGATCCAGGTTTTGCCCAGGCAGCTGTTCTAGCAAGCTGTGCAAGCAGAATGAGGGCACAAAAGACCGCCAGAATGCTGATGCCCCTTGTCACATGCAATTGTCTTGTCACAAATGCAACGCATCCAGGACCGACGAGGCTATGGCTACGGCTATCGGCAGGGTCAGGCCAGATGTTATTTCTCGCCTATGCTACACCAGCCTAATTCAGTCTGGGCTTCCGGCAAGAGTATCTATCGCCACCATCATTATCTAAGTGTAAGTACCATGACTGCCTTGTGAAGGAGTCAGAGGCAGCGGCAGCCGAGCAGCAACCGCAGCATGTGGAAGAAGCGCTGCAAGAGACTGAGGATGCTTTGGAACTGGAGGAGGAAGAAGAGGAGGAAGATGAGGATGACGATGAGCTTGCTGATGAGGATGCTCTGCAAGACCAGCATATTCACCGGGAAGAGCACAGGCTCTTGCAAGAGCGCTTGAAGCAAGCACAGCAGGAGCTTGAGCTGTCCCGGCAACAGCAGCATGAGCAGGAAATCCGCAAGGAGAGCGCTTTTCAGATGGAGGCCCAGGGTAAATGTTGGGTTTACATAGGGATAATGGAAAAGAAAACGGAAACTATTACATAGAGATTATCTAAGGGTAATGGAAAAGAAGATGGAAACGATCATATAGAGATCGTATAAGGGCAATGAAGCAGAAAATGGAAACTACACCCTTCTTGCGTTTGTTGCTTGAGATGTGGGTGTTGATCTAAAGGTCTGGGAAACAGTTTAAGCTTTCTGTAGTGTTTTTGTAAGGCAGGCGATGGGGGAAATGATTTGCATAATAACCCTCTTGGGAAAAGGAACGTTGATTACTGCCTTCAATAATTCATTTTATGAAGCCCTACACTGCACTACCTTTTTCCCCCTTATCCCCCACCCTTGACCTCCCAAAATAAAGCTTGATACAGCATTGCTTAGATGAGTAGTTCTATTTGTGGTGTCTTCTGGGAGGCCCCTCAAGCTGCACAGTCAGCATCTCCACAGACACCAGCCCGTGCCTCACATTTCTCGCTCGCAGTGTGAAGTGCTAGATGGTGGGTTGTCAACATTATCATCTCGTTTTGGGTCCCCTTTGTCATGCAGCCCCTACCCTAAACCCTAAACCCTAAGCCCTGAACCTTAAACCCTGGACCATAACCCCAAACCCTGAGCCCCCAAACCCTCATATTCAGGGTAATTACCCAGAGCCGGGCAACATTTTTCTCAACCCACGAAGAGAAAGATTTCCCGACCCCCGGAATCGTCTAAAGATTAGATCCCCTATCAGGGTTTGGGGTTAAGGGTTCATACGGGGCGTGTATAGTGGGCTCACTAGGGGTTCATATTGGGGATCGAATTTCAGATCCTCCCAGGGGTCTGGGTGTGGACATTTCAGTTCAGGACTTGGCCGAGTTTAGCTTGGACGAGGAGGATGACGAGGCTGTGTGAGTTGAAAATTCAGTCACATCCCCTAACAATGAAAACAACAAGAATAGAAATAGGAATATTAGTAGGAAGAACAATAGTTATAGTAGTAGTCATAGTATTAGTAATAGTAGTAATTGGAATGATCATAAGAATAGTAGTACTAGCTATGATCGTCGTAATAATAGTATTGCTAGGTTTGCTAGTCACAGTACCACTACCAGCAATGATAACTCCCATCATTATAGTCGGCGGAACATTCAATTGTGAAAGGTGGGGGTGGGGGCTGGGGGGTGTTATTCGGGGAGGGGAGTAGCATGTGGGTTGTTCCCAAAATTAGGCTCCCACTAAACCCCTAAACCCTAAACCCTAATTACTAAATCGGTGCCCCTAAATATTAGGTGCCTGAATACAAATCGGGCAGCGCAGGCGGAAGCCGAGGGAGATGATGCTGACGAAGGCATGAAGCCTTGCAGTGCACAAACTGATGTGGATAGGGTTTAGGGTTTAGGGTTTAGGGTTCAGGGCACCTTGGAAATCCTAAAATCATTCATAACATCCCTCATTGTTACCCATTCGAAAGTAATTTGGGGGGCTTTGAACATACCACCCAGTTTAGGTATGACTTGAAGAGTCATAGGTAGTTGTAGCATCTACTGCCAGGCAGCACGCTCTCTCAGGGTAGTTATGAGTGGAGTTGTATCTAGCATAGACATGGTCAGAACCCAGTGCTTTAGACTTTTAACCCAGCTTTTAACTCCCTAGACCGTTTACACACCCTAAACCCCAAACCCTGAAAAGCCTAAACCCTAAACCCTAAACCCTCAAAAGCCTAAACCCTGAACGCTCAACTTGCATGATACGGCCTCCTGTAGAAGCCAAGGCCGGAGGTTTTGGGCAGAATGCGAAAGCAAGCAGCGTGACTATTCAGGGTGTAGGGTTTCCAGTTTAGGGTTTCTGCTTTGATGGTGGAAAACGGTGCGAAAGAATGACAGTGTCACCTCTCAGGGCCTTTGAATTCTTCTTGTGCTTCTCTAAATGGAAGATTGTCCAACATCAAATTGTGGTCCTTGTTTCAGCCCCTAGTACGGCCTTAATATTTAGGGTTGCAGGTATAGGCATAGGGTCTAGGGACCAGAATTTGACAACCCCCAAACCTATAACCCAAAGTGGTTTTCTGGTTCAAGGTTTAGGCCCTAAACCCACGCCAGGTGGATCTGTGGTTGATGAAGTGGCTGCGCTCTCAGCTGCACTGCAACCATAATGCTGTCATTACCATTCCAGATTTCTGGGAAGATCTAGCCTCATGTAATTCCCTGCGTTAATCTGGAGGATCTAATTTCTAGATCCCTTAGAGAGTCTACCATCTAGTCCCCCAACATTAAGTTCCTCCCGCCCCCTGATAGTGGATATTTTTTTTGCTCATATTTGTATGCATATGGTGGTTTTCCAAAATAAGGGGCCCAAATATAGACCCTGAGATATTACAATCCTTATTATGGGGACCTTCAAAATGGTACCCCTGGTTTTGGGAAACCCCCATATATGAGCATATACACACGCGTTTTTTGGGAATTCAACTCTACGAGGTGGGGTGGTGTTTGACGTTAAGGGGGAAGCAGTTAACTTAGATATGAAGTTTCTCGAACCTGTTGGTCCGTTTTGGGGGGATCAGGACCCTATGACTGCTGATGATGTGCATGTGCGGACACTTTGTTGGAGAAATGTTGTGTCTTGAGGACTCTTGTGTCTTTTGGGTTCTCGAAACAATGAACCCTAGACCCTTTAGCCTAAACCTTGAACCCAAGACCTCTTGGAGGCTCATGTCGATCCTTATGAGCTGGCGGACTCCGACGGAGAAATCTTCGCAGCTGGTTGCCCAGACCTGCTCCAATGGAGCAGGTGCTGCTTTTTTCGGCATGTAGATACATGCGTACACCACTACCCACATACATACGCATATACACACATCCATCCATCCATCCGTCCGTCCGTCCGTCCATCCATCCATCCATCCATCCATCCATCCATCCATCCTCCCATTCATGCATGCATGCATGCATACAGGTCTATGTATGTACATATATGCACGCATACATGCAGTGTAGTCATCCTTGCAGACTCCCAAACGGAGGCCCTCTTTTTTTGGAAAGCCCCCAGTTGTCACCATTTTCCTCACATGAATTCATATGGTCATTTCTAAATCACGCTGTGTACCTGCAGCATTTTGGAGCCACTCGATTGTAGATGTTGCCATGATGTGGTAGTTTCCTTAAATAGGGGCGACCCGAATATAGACCCTCAAATACTACAGTCCTTATTATGGGGACCCCCAGAAGGGTACCCCTAAGTTTGGGAAATGCCAATCCCTAAACCCTACACCCTATACATCCCCATCACACATACCCCCATATAACTCCCTAATTGTGGGAAACCTTCAGGTGCCTAAACCCTAAACCCTTATTAGTGAAGGTTGAACTTGCTTGGAATGAATGTGCACGGCCCAGGCACTTGAGAGGGCCGGCCTGCAAGCAGGCCACTTGCTTCGTGACTGCTGGTGTTTGTTGTTGTTACATTATCCTCTAAACCCAAAACCCTATACCCTATGCCCTAAACCCTAAACCCTAAACCTTAACCCCTCCCTAAACCCTAAACCTTAAACCCTAAGCCCTATACCCTAAACCCCTGGCGTCCTTCATGACCTTGTTTTGTTGCATTTCAGCTGCGCTTCGATAGGTGAGACTGAAGACAACCAGCTTGAGTCCTCCGATGCCGACTCCGAGGTCGGACAGTTCACCATAGATCTTCAAATGATTAGGGGTACCTTTATGTACCTTTAAAGGGGTTTATGGCGGTTATCTAGGGGTATATGGGGATAGCTAGGGTTTAGGGTTTATGGGGGTTTCCTAGAATTAGGGGTACCGTCTTGGGGGTCCCCATTATGAGGATTACAACGGTAAGGGGTCGAAATCCAAGTAGGGCCCTCTGGAAAAGCGAGCACACAAGAGGCCGTAAGTCTTGGCCCAAAGCCGTTCAAGCAATCATGGCAATGATGCCAACCACACAGGCTCCACTGGAAGCGGCCGATCCAGGCCAGGACACATCGGGAAGTTCCTGATATGAGCGTCTGTCAATACTAGGCTTACTCAGGGACCACTAAGAGTGCATATAGGGCCCCTTTAGTATAGAGTCGAATATGTTCCCATGTCCATGAACTACACATGGGAAACATCAATCCTTATAAGCCCTATCCCTAAACCGTAAACTCTAAATCCTTTGAGAAATCTTGACTGCTGCTCATGTGCTGAGAAAGATGGAGGGGCACGGATCGTTTCCACACTTGGGGCTTCGTGCCTAAGCGCTCTGCTTTTTGTAAGTAGTGTACAATTTAGGGTTCAGGGTTTAGGGACTGCATAATCAAGGTACCCCAAAGGGGTCTGTGATTCTGGGAGTAAACCGTGTGTTCCGGAAACCTAAACGCTAACCTCGTCATCTTGACAACCCCCACTGATGTGGACCTGCAATTCTGAGAATAAGCCCCTAAACCCTGAAATCGTAAACCTAAGCCCGCTTGGACCTAGAATTCTGAGAGTGAACCCCTAAACCCTAACCCTCAAGCCAAACACACTCCCAGTATGAGCTATAAGTCTTTTTTTTTGGGGGGGGGAAGTTTGGGAGGAATCTACTACAATTTTTGTCCGGGGTCCACCTGGACCCAGAATTCTGAGAATAAACCCCTAAACCCTGAACCCGAAGCCCTAAACCCACCGCCGCATATGGACCTCATGTACCTTCATGGGTTCACCTACTATATACCCCGCTTTATACTACCCCCCCAGGTTCTCCCCGTAATTAAGGTTACTTAGATATAATTAGGCCTAATTAAGGCTAGTTAAGGGGGAACCAGGCGGGAGTATAGACGGGGCAGTAGGGGAACCCTAAACCCTAAACCCTAAACCCATGGTACCTTGCCACCAGAACCTTCCGCATCTCGGCTCAAGATCCTCCCTTTGACGTTTCGCGAAGTTTTGGGTTGAGGTTTTAGGGTTTAGGGTTCAGGATTTAGGGCTTAGCTTTCCGGGTCGAAGGTTGAGGATTGAGGTTTTGTGGTTTAGGTTCAGGAATTAGGATTTAGGGTTCGGAGTTTAGGGTGCATCGGAAGTTTTACGGAAGAGGCACGCTCTAACACTGCTCATGTGATAAATGTCCCTGGATGTACTATAAGACCACAACTCCGAGGTTCCACGTACATAGGGGCCACTATACTTTACACCTTCAACGTTACATGTACTCTTGTTTTTGGGACCACCCGCCTACTTTTATAACACCTTATGCCTTGGAACTCTATATGCTCAAATTTATTTTCAAACCCGGAACCATAAACCTGAACCCGTGAAGGCAATGTATCCATTTAGCCAGTATGCTAGAGGAAGAGATGGAACTAATGTGACCAGTAGTCATTTGTCTTTCACGCTTTCCCCCTAGAAGCCTGTGCGAGTTCGAAGGACATCTTATGCGATAATCTACAACCCAACATGCTATGCTATAGTATAATATAATGTAATTTCATATGTAAGAATCAATTCGCTGTATTTGATATAGGAGATACCACCAGAGATCTGGTGGTGATGTTTGGCGCAACAGCACAGCAGAGCTGGGAGGCGTGGACATGGCAACAGGAAGCCCCCCCAGACCCAGAGGAGGAGTTGCATCAGAGGCGTATTCAAGCCTACTTGCGGGGTGAGATTCTGGATCCCAGTGAGTTTGAGGGTAAGAAGGATGATGGTGAGGGCGAAGTGCCTGTACCTGTTGCGGAGAAGCTCTTCAGTGATGAGGAGCTTCAAGAATGGACCGGCGAGCAAGCTGTATTGTGGATCTCTGAGGCTCAAAATGCCTTCGAGATCCTTGGAATTCCTGTGGCCTCCGAGCCGGATGCTGCCTCATTGCGCCTTCGATACCGGCGCCTCTCGTTGCTCGTTCACCCAGATAAGAACCCGCACGGTGATGCCTCCGCCTGTTTCCAGCGCCTCTCCGAAGCTTTGCGCGTGCTTTTTGACGATGCCGGGCGGCAGGAGCTTTTGAACCAGCTCTTCGAAGATACCTTGAACCCAGGGCCCCAAAGTGGAATGACTGGAATCCCCGAGCCATCTGAGCCCGACCAGCCTGCAGCCGAAGTTTCGGAGGAAGGCCTGAACGATTCTGTGCATGAGCGCGTGATGCAGCATAGCAAGCTTCAGCAGCTTTTGAGGCAAAAGAAAGGGAAGAGATCCCGCTCTCCTGTTCGAGGCCCTCGTGCCGGCCACCGTGAGACTTTGGCGGAGGAGTGGCAGCGCATGGCTGCGGCTGCTGCGCCCGTCGCACCTGCCGCACCCGCTGCACCGGCTGCACCTGCTGCACCTGCTGAAGCTGGGGCGGCTTCCAGTGCGAATGTTGAAAGACCTGTTACACAGGATGACCCTGAGAGTTTGTGGCAAAAGGGTGGAGACTCGGCCCTGAAGCTTGCAGGTTGGAGGCGGTTGGAGAGCCGCCGCATGCCGGGCCAGTTCTACTTCGCCCACCTGGCCACTGGACTCACTGTTATGGAAGGCGCCAGATCCAGAATTCAAGCGCCTTCGTGGGAGATGCGACAGAGTCGACATGACCCATCTGTTCATTATTATGTGAATACAGTCACGGGTGAGACAAGAATGGGTACTTCGCAGCTGGAGAAGAGTTGACTTTGGGATCTGCATTGCCCCGCTGCAAATGTCGGCACCGCCAGCCAAGCACTCAAGAACCCTGCCATTCAAAGGATCAACCAGAAAGGGAGCGCAGTGCACGGAACTCCCACCAACGCGTCGCAGCCCAAAAACAGTCAGACGCTTCAAGGAGCAAACGCAGTCATGTCAAAATTATGGTTCCTAGCAGAGGCTGCATTATAATCAGGACTCAAAAAGGGGACCATAGCTTTGACGACCTTCAAACCCTAAACCCTATCCCTGCAGGCCGTTGGTTTGGGCGGTCTTTGAGTTAAGCTGCGCTTGTTGCAGCGATGTCTGCAGCAGTGGGAGGTCTTCTCACTCTTTTGTAGCACGGTTATGCTCCAGTGGAGTTGGGCTTCAGGGGTCAGAGTTTAGGGTTTAGATTTTAGGGTTTAGAGTTTGGGGTTTAGAGTTTAGGGTTTAGGGTTTAGAATTTAGGGTTTTTCGGTATATGAAGGGGCCACTCTGGACTTCTGCGGTTGCTACATGCCTCGTGCGCTTTTTAGATGTGGGCTTGTGTCTGAAGAGCTTCTAGCATCGTGATCTTTGACTTGAAGGACATTCCCCTACTTGGAGGTCCCTGGGTAGTTATGACCCGTTCATAACCTAATCGTACTTGTAACCCAGATAACAATATCATGGGGCTTAGTGGGCCTCTCGTTAGAGGCCTCTCGTTAGAATGCAGTTATAGTAGTCCTTATATAACCCATTATAGTAGTTTCCATTTTCTTTTCCATTATCCCTATATATCCCCTCTATAACCCCCATATAAGTAGGTTCTCATTATTCATGGACTTCCAAGAATATTTGATCGGAGCTCGGGGGCCATGACTTTGAGTTTTCACAGGGGGGGGTCGTAAAAATGATGGTCTACCCTAGTTATCCCTAATGGCACGTGGCCGTATGATTGTTTTGGGGACCCCGCGAAAACAAACCCATCACATATGCTCAAAATCCAGAACCACAGGTTCAGGTGAGTAGCGAATAGGTGCCGTTCAAGGCTCGTATTTGTTTATTCCACCATGATCCACCTCACCCCAAACCCACCCACCTGAAAGCGCTCTTGATAAGACCACCCCAAACCCCTCCATTTTGTTTTGCATTAGGTTTTCCATTTTTCTCTTTGTAGGCTCCAGATGTTTGGTTAATCTCCTCAAAACACGACATCTCCCTTGTATAACCCTTATGAAGCCCCACAGAACCCCATATAATCCCAAAAAAATCCCTATAACCCTAGATATAGTAAGCCGCCTAGTGCGCAGGTCCTCCGCCGGCGCCTGCGGTCGAGGCCAGGTCATCAGCAACTGGTCTCCCCTTAGGGTTTGGGGTGGTTATAATCCATTGGTTGGGGTTTAGGGTTTAGGGTTTAGGGTTTGGGGTGGTTATAATCCATTGGTAAGGGTACTACCCCCACCCAGTAACAGTCGATATTAGGGGTCCTATTAAGGGCTATATATAACCATATTATAAATTATTATCCAACTGTTACTGAGGGGGGCAGTACTGAATCCATTGGTAAGGATACTTACAGCAGTAACTACAACTACCCTATATCCGTACTAGGGGACATAGGGGGCGTATGATTGGGTGATAGTTACAATTGTACGGGGTTGTAACTACCCATGGACCTCTGAGTAGTACTGCTTGCCAACAAGGGCCATCCAGGGTTTGGGGATTTGGAAGTTTTGGGTTGAGACCTGATGCTTTTGACCCTTCAATTCCGGGGTTAGGGTTTAGGGTACAGTTTTGATGTTCAGGGTTGAGGGTTGGGCGTTTTGACATTTAGGGTCTGAGGGCTGGAGCTATGATTTCTGAGAGGCTGCTAAGGATGTACGGAGGGTTCATACAGTCGTGTCTGCAAGGCTCATAGGTTCGAGTCTTCAAAGACCGGCAACTTGTGACGCTTTGAGGGGGCCTGGGTCTTGATGAAGAGCCATATCCACGTTGGCTTGTACCACGCACTAAACCCTAAACCCCTAAACCCTAAACCCCAAACAATCAACCCTTAACCCTTAACCCTTGACCCTTGGGAAGGCCAAGCCACCAGTCAGTGCAGATGCTGTCACAACAGCCCCTGCTCCCATCGAGCGAATTGAGCGCCCGGAAGCCGTGCAGGCAGAGCGTGCGTAGGTGGTACATGAGCTATAGTCTAAACTTCTTGAGGGGTTATGTAGGGGACTACTACTGGGGTTCTTAAGGGGGATACTAGGAGTTCAGGCTATAGCTCACATGGCGGTTATTTTCAGGGTATACGGCGATCATATCAGGGCTACTAAAGGTAGCAGAAAACGAGTAAGAGTATACGAGAGGCAAGTTTTCGGGAGTACACAAGCAAAACATCAAAAGACTGCGCAACTCCAATATATGATCCTGTAATTCCCCTATGGAACTCTATAAAACCCTATATAGACCCTAAATAACCCCATAACCCCTAGAAGGCCTAGTGAACTGTCTTCAGGTCCAACAGGTGCCGATGCGCAAGCCAGACCCTCCGCCGGCCAAGGCTGCACCCATCGCTGCTCACCATGCGGTTAAGGCGTAGGGCTTAGGGTTCAGGGTTTAGGGTTTAGGTTTTAGTTAGTTTTTTTTCTATAATGGGGGGAGCCATATTAATTCTTATACATACCTATTATGATAATTTGTTCAAGCTGAATAACAGCAATTCAGATGACGGCATGTAGGTTCATGGCCGGGGTTTAGGGTAGAGCTTAGGGTGCTGCATGCTGCATGCGAGACTGTGAGACCACGAGCTGAAAGCTACCCAGATCTACCCTAAACTCCCCTGAAGCCCCTACACCCTGAACCCTAGACCCTAAACCTTAGATCCTACATCCTGAACCCTCATCTTGTCAACCGTAAATCCTAAACCCTGAACCCCAATCCCGTAACCCTGAACCCTAAACCCCTGAACCCTAAACCCTCAACCCTAAACAGCTTCAGTGAACTGTTCCAAGGTCAGCGCAGTCCCAAAAGCTGAGCCGACCAGGCCTACCTCCTGCGGACCCCGAGTTTAGGGTTTAGGGTTTAGGGTTGAGGGATTCAGGGGTTTGGGGTTCAGGGATTGGGGTTTAGGGTTTAGGGTTTTAGGGATTCAGGGGTTTAGGGTTTAGATTTTTTGGATTCGGGTTCAGGCCTAAAGAGGTTTTAGGGATTGAGGGTTTATGGCCCAGCCCCCAAAACGAGGATTATGTAAGGGTTATATAACCAGATGTCTATGTATGTAGCCGGGTGTTACTCCGAAGTGGGTTTTGGTGATCCCACCCCCTAGAGTCTTCAATCGAGAGCCAACTTGAAAAGACAGTGGAAGATTCATTGGCAACTGGTAATGTGGGTACCCTTGTACATGATTTTTTGGAATAGCGGAAAACCAAATGAAAAAGACCACAGAAATTGAAATGGCAAGTTTTGTACTTCAGAGGTTTGTGGGGTTGAGGGGATCCTTGAACCGTCGGAGAATCACATGAGCTATAGTCTCAATTCCTTAAAGGGAGGTTATATAGAGGATGATATAGGGTGCCAATTATAAGGGTTTTTAAGGGGGATACTTGGAGTTAAGACAATGGCTCACATGGAGAAATTGGCCAATGAAATGGAAACTGGTTTATACATGGTACTCCCGACGTCCGCATGAAGACCCCATTGCGGTGATGTGATAGGATCCTGATTTGGCAGTGGGGCTGCCACGATCCTTTCAGTACCGCCATAAGATTGGGTGATCAACGGGGCACGATGGGGATACCTATGGTCTGCCTTAAGTCCCACAACTTGTCATTCTGGGATTCAGGTTCATAGTTGTACAGCCAGAGGGCCCGCCCTGTGGCTCGTTAGAAGCTTCATGGAATGCCTTGCCATGCATCAACGCTTCTTGCGTGTGATCTCCGAACTTGTTGCAGGCCTGTGCCGGCGGCGGAGGTGTCGCTGCCTCAGTCGTACTTGCACCTATCCGGGCACGGACCGGGATAAGGCACTTTATGTACCTACATAAATAGATAGTCATATGTATATGTATATATATGTATAAATATGTATATACGGATATATACACACATAAATGTATTTACACATCTTCGAATGAGGTTACCGAACAGCAGCCAAGTAGATCCCACACTGCAGTACGAGGCGCCAGAGCACTACTCCGAGCACGGCGCATACGCCCAGTACTCCAAGCCGGGTTAACGCAAACAAGAAACCGCGGGCCGCGAGCTTAGAATATTAGGTTTTGATATTCGGGTTATTTTAGGGTTATATTGGGGGTTATAATAGGGTTATATGAGGGTAATATTGGGGTCTATATTCGGGTTATAGTAGGGTACTATTGGGGGTTATATTAGGCTTATATTGGGGTAATATTGGGGGTTGACATGGAAGGTCAGAGAAGCATGTGCTAGGCTGTCATACTCATGGTCCCTTGTTGTACGCAAGAAAGGGAAGCAAGGTTCTACAAGCAGGCGGCCTTAAGATAGGCCCCAACATACTGTGATCCTGCTTGTCAGGGCTCACAGAAAGGGCACCTCTTTCTTAGAAACCTCCAAACCTTCATATCTTCATACAGCCCTGCATGTCCCCTGTAACAACTTTAAGGGGACCTGGTCTGACTGTGGAGGTCGTGAACGACTCCGCTCTTGTTGCGGGTTGGCATGAACTCCTGGCACGGACGCTGGGCCCTGAGCTTCCTATCCTATCTCTGGCCTTATGGGAGTTTAGGGTTTTAGGATTTAGGGTTTTGGGTGTAAGTAGCGAAGAGGGAAAAGGGCAGTGGAAAAGAAACCGGAAGCTATAGGGTTTAGCGTTTAGGGTGCAGTGTGATTAAGGTAGTTTTGAGGCAAGTGAGGAGTGGATCTCTATATTAGTCCCTATAGAACCCTTATACTCGTCCCATCTCATTCAGTCACTGCACTAGCCACCAGTAAGCTACAGCGCGCCTGACGTTGAACATGCTGCGCCTCGGTGCGAGGCGACGTCATCCTGATTTTCCTGCTGAATACACCTCGTGTTTTGGCACGGAGGGTCCGCGGCTCAAGCTATGTAGTAGCCTGAATAGTTGCCAATAGGAATGGGAATATAATGTAACTGCAGCATAACATACCCCACAATCCTATTCCAATGTCTCAGACCCTTGTATTGCTTCAAAGGGTCCTGTAGCTTTTTAGATTGGACTGCCAAGGAAAGAGCTGGCTCAAAGCATCACGTCTCGAGCTGAGTGCACTTCAACTGACAGTTCCCGTGTTCCTTATGTCTTTGCAGGTGGTGTGCGGCCCTGAACCCTTGACCCTAAACCCTACACCCTAAACCCTTGACCCTAAATCCTTAGTCCCGAACACGCAACCCTGGGCCTTGGACCCTGGCCCCCTGCCCCTCCAGTCTAAACCCCAAACCCGAGTCCCTTTTATGTTTTTTGATTTATCCCTTGTAAACTCCCTGTAATAATTTAACGGACCTCAAGCCTAAGCCCTAAACCCTCAAGCCGAAACCTTAAGCCCTTGTTTGCTTTTATTGGAAAAAGGTCCGATGAAAACAACCTGAAACCCTAAAGGCCAAAACACCTCACTGAACCCTAAACCCTAACCCCTAAACCCTAAACCCTGAACCCTTAACCCTAAACCCTGAACCCTAAATCCTGTGGTTCAGGTGGCAAGGGCCGGTTCGTTCTAGGAATCGACTGCGAGATGGTCTATGCCAAGGCAAATACGGTTTAGGGTTTAGGGTTTAGGGGTTTAGGGTGTAGGGTTGAGGGGTATTACCCCCAATATTGGAGAATCAAATGGAAAAGAAGATGGAAAATGACATGGAGACTGGGATCATAGGGTAGTTTATAGGTTAGAGTTCACGTTCTGCAAAAAATTCTGGAGTCCACTGGAAAAGGTTTCTGGGAGACTTTTTGGGGGTATATAAGGATGTATGCGCAGCAAGTGTAGCAGTTTTTTTTGGGTGATTGAGGGGATGCCTGCTTTTTCAGAAAACGCAGTGTTATCTGATTTATGGTGGTTTTGGGATACAGCCCCTAACATAAAGGGTATCCAAAAGCGGACCACAGTTTTGGCAAACTCCCCACATGAGTAACCTCTTGGAGGATGACAAAGACGCGCTTGCCCGTGTGTCCGTGGTGAGCTGCTCCGGTGTCATCTACGACGTCCGGGGCCTTACATTGGGTACTGCCCCCACTCTGTAACAGTTGGAAAATATACGCATGCATCAATTACGCGTTGGCTCAAAACGATCTCATGCGCATTTCAGTGGATCCGGGTGGAGAGCAGGCCGCTGCAGGTTGTGGAGGGTATAGGGTTTGGGTGTATAGGGTTTGGGGATTCCATGCGATCACGCCAAAGTCGACAGTTACTTTGTTGCTTTGTCCTCTAAGGCACATGTGCAAAAACGTGCAGAGGACGCTCGCGACTTATTCCAGCATACAATAACTGGGCTGTGCGTGAAGGTCCATGGGTAAATAGATTATCCCCACTTCCCTAGGGGCCCTAGAGGCCCATAGGTAACTATGTGCAGGTTATGGTAACTCATAGGCCTTGCAGTGGTGATGCAACTGAACACAACCTTAAAAACCTGGAACCGTTCTTCACGTGTTTTGAGGTGCTGGACTATCGGACGAGGATCTCTGGAGTTGAGTGCAGCTCCCATTTTCCCGGCTTGTGATAGCGGCTATAAGGGATAGTAAGGACTATATTAGGGTCCCCTTGCATTCCTATTATACCACAATTTACGGTCTAGGGTGTGAAAGTTGGAAATGGTTTGTGTCATCCTTCCTTTGTTGCTGTGATTATCCATGATGCTAGTATTCATTCGTCTGCCATCATCCTTTGCTAGGGTTCTCATCGTAGTTGTATTCCCCATATGGGGGTTGTCCGCAAGCACCGTGTGCAGGTTTTTAAATTAAACGACCAGGGGCTGGCTTAGAAGATGGTGTTTGCAAAAGAAACTTTGGATTTCGCGAAAGAGGTATCGTAAGCTATAGTTCCTTACGTGCGGTGGGTAACCCTAAGCCCTAAACCTGCAGACCTTAAACCCTAAACCTTAAACCCTAGATCCTAAACCCTAAACCCCTTAACCCCTGAGCCTTAAATCCTAAACCGCGTGCGTCATGTCAAGAGTTCAAGCCTGGGTTTCAATCCGGACATGCTTCTGCCAAAGTTCGTGATGGTGCTAGCGAAAGGAAATTTGGATTTCCGCAAAAAGGTCCTTCTGTCATGGGAGAACTTTTGCAAACCTCCTCTTATGTGTGTTACAGATAATGGAGCTTTGGTTGAAAGACCCGATGATATTGACAAGTTTGTCATGGGGTTCTAATTTTCGGGGTTGGGCTTACCAACCTAAACCCTAAACCTCAAACCCTAGATCAAAATCACCATATACAACTCTAGGCCCGCGTCATTTTCCCTACAATTTGCGCAAGAGGTGCTAGGAGTTAACATCATGTGAACTACTGTCAATATCAGCCTTATTCAGGGACCCTCAAGGGTGGACATAGGGGTTGTCTTGTAGTTTAGTATAGTCCCAGTTCCTAACATAGTCTCTAGTAAGCAACCCATGTCCATTGAATAATGTAGGAAATGTTGACTGTAGCTCATGTAATGTAGGGGCCTAAATCGTTTTTTGGGGGGTTTTAGGACATATTGTATTCTAAGCCACGAACCCTAAACCCTCAACTCTAAAGAGCGCGCTAGTTTGTTAAAAGGACTATAAGGGAAGGATCAAATTTGGGGGTACCATTTTAGGGGTCCCCATAATATGTACTATAGTACATTGGGGTCTATTTAGGGTTCCCCCTTTTTAGGGAAGCTACCATAGCTTCCTTCTTTTGTCAACTACATGAAATGGACCTCAAATCAGATTGGTCCCTAAGCCCTGAAACCTTAACCCGGAACCCACAACCCGCGCTAACCCTAAACACTAATTCCTAAACTATTTCTTTTTTAGCATTATTTATCTGGCCGTGTTTCTTCATACACGGGTTTCTCAAGAGGATGAGTCCCTTCCGTTTGGGGGCCGACAGTGAAGATGTCTTTTGAAGGGCATGTGTGGACTTCTTGTTCGAATAAATAGATGTTTCCCAACATGGGAGCGCTTTTAGAAATCCCCGGCATGTATGCGAAATCCCTATTCAGGATTGCACCGGGCCGTTTCAGTGCTAAAGTTTGAGGGCTTAGAGTTTAGGGATTAGTAGCCGGGCCGTAAGCCCTAAACCCTAAACCAGGGCGCACCATCTCCTGGCAGAGAACGGGGCCTGGAGCTTACCGAGCAGTGTTTGCGGTGTAGGGTCTTGCTTGGGGCTTAGCGCATGGAACCCCAAACCCTAAACCCTAAGGCAAAGCCTTGGAGAAAAGGTCCGGCAAAAAAATCCAAAAAAAATCCCTAAACCCGGGATTGAGGGTTTAGGGTCTACGGTTGATCCCTTAAATATTGGGTACCCTAGATATTAGGGGCCGTAGGATATAAGGGATCCAAATCATGACGACCGTTGAGACAGACAATCTTCTGCTTAGGGCTCGTATGAGAGTCTCGCAAGACTGCAACAATTTTTTCAAGACTCTGCAGCTACTTTCCTCAGAAGCACACAGTTTTGTTTAATTAAGGGTTTTGGTAAGTGTATACGGAGTTCTTTAGGAAATTCGGTGAGTGTACATATTTCGTATAAAATTTTGGAGTCTAGAAATTAAGAGCCTACCATACGTGATGCTGACCCTAAGCCCTCGACCGTGTGTTTAATCACCTCCTCCCCAGGAAGGAACCTCTCACTCCCCCTAATAATCAATCTTCCCCCTAATCTAGAATTAGAATGGCATTAGACTGGGGAGGTTCGTTCTCATTGCGTGTGTGTGTGTGTGTGTGTGTGTGTGTGTGTGTGTGTGTTTGTGTGTGTGTGTGACCTGTTGTACATACAGGAATGGGGTCACTCCCAACATGCACACTACTTATTCACTATTCTTTGGCGTCAGTTTTTGCCCAAGTGACTTACACAACATGTCTGCACCCGTCTTGCGATGGATTTCTTTGCTTCAGTCACTGGATTCAGATGATTTTGCCAGATTGCATGAAGCTGTACTTCGTGAGCATCAGGAACGTGAACATAGGATGCAGCATGATCAAATCGTCTTTTGCAAGTTCAAGGCCAGATGCAAAGGAAATCAAACGGATCAGGAATCATCCGGAGATGACAGCCCAGGTGAGTTTGAACCGCATGTCCGATTTGTGTTGGAGAACATGGTTCAAGTGTTCGAAATGCAGACAACACGGTTGCGTATTGAACAGCTGCAAGAAGCCTTCCAGATGTTGACAAAGAAAAGCAAGAGACCCACTTTCAAGCGGTCACTACAATTTTCTTCTGAAGCCATTTCCATTGATTGAAATGTTGCAGGGGAGTGCGGCATGACT